CGGGAAGCTGCTTGGCCCTCGCTGTTCCCCCCCCAACCGGGCACTGAAGCGAGGGACGAGCGGCAAGCCGCTCGTCCCTCGCTATTTCCCTCCCCCCCCAAGTCGGCACTGAAGCCGGCACTGAAACTCCCTCAACCCGGAGTTTGCAGAGCGTTCCGTGCGCATGCACACGGAACGCTCTGGCACTTTCAGCGGGATTTAAACATCCCCCCAATTTTTTTTCAATATTTAGGATTTTTGTGCACACGTGGAGACTGCCCCACGTGTGCACAAACCTCTCCCTCCCCCCCAAGTGCCCCCGATGTCCGGATTTAGATATCCGCACATCAGGGGCCACTTCACTATTAGATATATAGATGTGTGTATCTGCTCATTCTGCATAGTGCATTCTGCTGGGGAAACGAGGGGTGCAGGGACCTTTTCATGCGCTCCTGTCCCCACTGTGTTCTGTTTGGGGAGGGAGAGAAGCTGATAAAGCACAAACACAGAGAGAGAGAGAGAGAGAGAGAGAGAGAGAGAGAGAGAGAGAGAGAGAGAGAGAGAGAGATGTTCTAAACCAAAACTCAGTTTATTCCATTACACACTCTTAAGTCAGAAAACACTTTTGTAGCATTTCAGCATTCAACATAGAATATTTCAACACAACCCCAATACATAAACAGTGCACTTGTGATTGTATAAAGGATATCCTTGGTTGCACTGCCAAGACCCATAACAGAAGGGTTGTTGGCCAGAACAGCAAGGAACAAAACTAAATCCAGACATTAAGAACCCTTTTCCAAACAAAGGGGCTAATTTAACTGTCAGTCAAGTCTGTGGCAAGCATTTGACATACATCCGATGTATACAACAAAGTCAGCCCCTTTCTTTCGATCTCTGGGGTCAGGAAACTCAACAGAAACTGGGTTAAGCTAGGTTGACTCAGAGAGTCCCAGGAAGCTAGGTTTGGGTACTCTTATCTATTTAGAATCTGATAGTGACTCCTGACCTCTGCAAAGTATAAACATTCCCAGAAGGCAAAAGTCATGTGAGGCAAAAAGGCATGTATGGAGATATCTGTACCTGATGGCCACAGCACTTAGAGTCCTGAAGCCTCCAGGGAAACAGAACCACGGATTCAACTATAGAGGCCAATTACTATAGAAATTAAAGTCACATAGGTTTATCAGAGGACTGAGGCTCACTCCAGGCCCTAATTCCGTGACACATTCTGCTTCTCCCAGTCGTGGGAGTTCCCCAGGGCGTTGGAGTTCCCAGCCCATTGGGGATTCAGATTAGGAAAGGTTCCGTTGACACATTCTCAAGCTTATCTCTGCAGCCCCGGAGCATAAGAAACCTGAATTGTTATTTTTTTTAAAAAAAGCTAAAATTCAAAGGGCAAGGATTCCTGCAGTACACACAGCCTTGGATGCAAAAGAAGTAGTGGATAGGGCACGTTGCCCTTCTGAAGGTGGGTAGATTCTCTCATGATTTCCATTTGGCCTTTACCCTGACAGTGCAACACCACGTGTGGTCGTGGGGTGAAGAAACGGATTGTGCTTTGCCTGGAGATCGTCACTGGGAAGATCAAAACCCGCAGCCCAAGTGAATGTGATGTCACCAAGAAACCCTCTGAGGAAACCACCTGCTTTGAACGCCCTTGTTTCAAGTGGTACACAACCCCTTGGTCTGAGGTGAGGGGTGTGGAATACATGTACAAACAAGTCCAATAGTGAATGGTGTCAGTTATGCTGCCATTGTGGCTGGTGGAGGGGGAGGTGGTTGATTTGTGTCTTCTTTCAGGTCTGGTATGTGTGGTTTCGATTCTCAGTGGTCCTTTTATTGCTGTTTGACCTCGGTGTCTGCTGCACTGCTTTCCCTTGGAATGTGAACCCGTTAGTTTTAGGCTCACAAAGGCTTCTTCCCTGATTGGCTTTGAACCATCAGGAGACCCTGCTTTGAACCAGGTATAATTGACCCTTTCCCGCTTTTTGACTTAGTTCTGACACTGAATGTGTAGGGATGACTTGCCTTTACTGGAACGATAAAGTGAAACTTCATTGAAAGCCTGTTGTTGATTCCTGATTGCTGCAAGACTCTGACATGTATATGGGTGACTGCAGTTCAAGGTCTACATCAGCAATGAACACAGTATGCAGCTCTGGACAGTGCCCATCATAGTAGATTTATTTTATTTTATTTATTCATTTATTTATTTATTTATTTATTATTCACATTTCTATCCCGCCCTCCCCGGAGGCTCAGGGTGGCTTACAGGGCGTATCGCCAGATAAAACAATAAAACAATACCAAATAGTAAAATACATCACCATTAAACCAATTTTGGTGCTCCTCTCAGTCAATTCCCAAATTCCAAATTACACTTTCTAAAAGCAAGATGGCCACCCCCTACACCTCCCGTTCTCGCCCATAGTGCAGCGATTATGGGGTATTGATGGAACGTGCCCCCTCCTGATGTCCATATATGGGGTGTTGATGGTAGACTAGTGCGTTGGTAGTGCACTAGTGATGGACTAGTGGTGGCGGCTCCTATTCAAAAGCCTGGCGGAAGAGCTCCGTCTTGCAGGCTCTGCGGAACTGTGCTAGGTCCCGCAGAGCCCTGATCTCCTCTGGGAGCTCATTCCACCAGATAGGAGCCGCCACCGAGAACGCCCTATTCCTGGTCATGGTAAGTTTGATAGCCCGGGGCCCTGGAACATCTAATAGATGTTGGGTCCCCGACCGTAGTGCCCTTGGGGGAACATGTGGGGCAAGGCGGTCCCTTAGGTAATCAATTAATTAAAAAGGTTCCCTGGATTCTCTTCCATATTAGTGAAACTTCAGGGCTTATTGAGATGCTGAAGCAAATATGTGAACTTCCAATTTAATTTTGCTAGGAGGAAAAGCCATTGTCAGTATTTCCAAATTCCCTATAAAACAGTAGCATACCGCAACAGAAACCACCTCCCTCAATAGCTGTCCTTTAAGCTGCGTGTGTGTGTAACGTTGCAGCTGCTGTAAGAGTATAGCAACTTCTCAATGGGTTTTCAAGGCCAGATATGAAAAGAAGTGGTTTGCCATTGCCTGCCTTTGTGTAGTGACCTGGGCTTCCGTGATGTCTCCCTGCCAAATACTGACCAGGCCCATCTTGCTTAGCCTCCACAATCGGGCTAGCATGGGGCCGTCCAGGTCAGGGCTTACTCCATCTCCTGTTAAACTTTTGCCTCCCTTCATTCAAATTTATCCTAGCCAATAAAATCACTGGGATCTGTAGCTGACTGACCTACTGCCTAAAGCCTTGAGTGGCGTCCCTTTCTTGATGCTTGAAGATTCTCACCCCGCCCTCCTTACTGGGCGTGGTCACTGCCCTTCCCGGGCCAAACGGTGAGAGGAAGAAGCCCTCCCTCCCTCCCCAGACTTCCCACTCGTGCCCCTGGCGTCCTCACGAGCAGGGCCAGTCCTGATTACATCTTGGCAAGTGGCGTTCTGCTCCAAGCCTTGGCACTGACGGGCCCAATGCCTCGGCCAGGCCAGCTGGTGCAGCCTGGGCCCTGCGAGTTCCGAAGGGGAGGAGTTCCTTCTTCACGCTCTTCCCCAAAAGGGTGATTGACGCACCTTCACCGAGCTGGGCCTCCTTCTCTGCCTCCAACTCTGGAATGCAGGAAACATCCTCTTCTCTCTTAGAAAGGAAACACGTTGTGCTCCTCAAAGTCTCTTCAAATTTTCTTCTGTGGCTTTTGACAGTGGATGTTAATAGAATTCTTGGTATACTCTCTGGAGATGGATGATTTCATGTTTTATGGCTGACAGGACCTTATTGTGAGTCTGTTTCAAGAGGCAGTGGCTCCCCAAGACCTCAGGCGGAAAACAGTTTCCCTCCCTCTGGCTACCCTTTAAAAAAATGAAAATATTAACGTTTTGCTCATAAGGAATCCAAATTCAACTCCACATTCATCTTAAAATGGCAAATTTTAGAAATTGTATGAAATTGACAGCATTTCTCTTATAATGTAAAATTCTGCAAGTTTTGCATCCGTTACTCTGCCCTTGTTCATTAGCACCCACCTCCCTATTCTTCTTCGACAGCCTCTTGGGCCCTTGCAATTTTGGCAGGGTTCACCCACCTGCTTTTGAGCTCATCTGACAGCCTAAGGGCTAGAAACTTGCTTTTCAAAGCAGACGAGAGCTGCCCTCCCTCCGCATCAGGGCACGCCCAGCGCCCTGGACAGCAGCTGGATTTCACTTGCAAAATGTCAGTTAAAATGTGAAGTTTCGTTGAATTATGAACATTCTGCAAATATTCATTTCCTATCTAAGTAATAGAGCAGCCTGACAGTTTCTGGCCTTGATCTGATTGTTCCCTTGTCTCTGCCAAAAATAAAAAAAAATCTTCTCTGCTTTTCACCTGCTCAGTGTACCAAGACATGCGGCATTGGTGTGAGGATGCGAGACGTCAAGTGCTACCAAGGGAAAGATCTGGTCCGGGGCTGTGACCCTCTCGTAAAACCTGTTGGCAAACAGACCTGTGACCTTCAGCCCTGTCCCACTGAACCGCCAGGTAAGGGGGGAGAGTGGTTGGCCAGGTCGGGGCTGGGAGAAATACCCGCTGCAGCTTCCAGAAAGCACCAGGATGACACTTGAAGCAGCGAAGGTTCTAGGACTGCCCCCTAATTGGCCAGGCTTTCATTAGTCTGATTTTGCTTGGATAACTCTCTCAAGCAGGAACTTCCAAATTCAAACTTTAGGGGTGTTTGTAGCCACCTTGAAAAAAA